CGCGACATAGCTACGTGATTATGTAAGCGAACGCGCACTGAAACTACTAAGTCCGCGTCCTACTGAACATACAAGTCCGTAGGACTTCCAACACGTACTCGGGTTCGTAACATTCGTCTTTGACTCTTGCACGTCCTCTGGCTATCGCATTCCCACCACGTTGCCCAAATCTGCCGATCCTCCGCACCGCCGAAGCGCCGTAACGTGTCCGCCGGTCGCGACCACTCAAAATAGCACGATGCTGCTCAAGCTAACAACCTCCACGCGCTACGTGCTCCTCGTCCTCCTTCTCGTCGTGCGTCTCCGGCTCCGCTCTACTTTTCGCTGCTCTCGTGGCTAACACCCCACAGCTCGGCATCCACTCCATCCTGAGCTTCACCCACGAGGACTACGGTCGTGCCACGTCCCTCTCACAAATAGCCGCCAAACTCTCGTGGGGCTCCAACGACGCACTCGATAGCATCCCCGACGATTATTTCTATCATGAGCTCGAGCCGACGCCGTACAACGTCTCCCGGCGCGCGAACGCGACGATGCTCATGCTCGCGCGGAATAGCGATCTTGACGGGGCGATGCGCAGCGTGCGCGAGCTGGAGGATAGGTTCAACCGCCGGTATCGCTACCCCTGGGTGTTTCTGAACGATGAGGAGTTTTCGGATGAGTTCAAGAGGTACGTGGGTGTTGAGGCTCGTTGCGTCTGGTGCTGATGGGCGGCGGATAGACGGATAAGCAACGTCGTGTCGGGCCCTGTGTCGTTTGGCTTGGTTCCTCGCGAGCATTGGGTCCAGCCTGACTGGATAGACGAGGATAGGGCCCGGGAGAGCAGGGACAAGATGGTGGAGAACAATATCATCTATGGCGGTGCGCACCACCCTTGTCGCGCGCGTGCCTTATAAACTGACATGTCCATCCTGCAGGGAGTGTCTCGTGAGTACTGTTTTGATGCTGTTCACGTCGGGGAGGTGAGTCAATGCGACGCAGGTACCGCAATATGTGCCGCTTCAACTCAGGGGTGCGTCGAGCCCGCTCTCCGCCCTCAACTCCCGTCGCCTGACCATCGCCCGTGTAGTTCTTTTATCGTCACCCGCTCCTGCAGCAGTACAAGTGGTACTGGCGAGTCGAGTGCGTTGCCTCCTCACATGTTGTGCTGTGTTCGTCTCATTGGATTGGTCGTGCGTCTAGGCCTGACGTGCACTTCCACTGCGACATCGAGTTTGATCCGTTCGTGTACATGGAGGACAATGATAAGGTTTATGGTGCGCACCTCGGATTTCTATGCAGGGCAGGGCGTGAAGACAGCGGTTGACGAGCGGTTTTCGCGTCTCAGGCTTTACGATCACCATGTATGAATACGAGGCGACAATCCCGACACTCTGGGAGACGATCAAAGGTGCGTGGCTCTTCCTTTCCTCCCCTTCCCTGCCTGTTTGCACGACCTGATCCGCCGCGCGCACTAGAGTTCATGCGTCTGCACCCCGAGTACGTCTCTCCGAACAACGCGATGGGCTATCTCTCCGATAACAACGGGAATACATACAACCTCTGCCATTGTAAGCCCACTTGTTTCGAGTCTAATCCTTGGTGATGACGCCGTTGAGCGGACAGTCTGGAGCAACCTTGAGATCGCGAGCATGGACTTTTGGCGCGGAGAGGCGTATTCGACGTACTTTGATTTCTTAGATTCGAAGGGCGGGTTCTACTATGAGGTACGCAGAATCCGATGTTTCCGTGTTTGACATGCCAACTCTCACTCTACCACTATCTCGCCTGTCCTCGCCGCCGCTAGCGCTGGGGCGACGCACCAGTGCACAGTATCGCAGCGGCACTGTTCGCGCGGAAGGACCAGATCCACTTTTTCGACGAGATTGGGTATGAGCACAATCCGTACACGCATTGCCCGCGTGGGCCCGGCGCATGGGAGCGCGGGCACTGCTCGTGTGATACTGGGAGGAGTTTCGGTGAGTACCGCTGCCCTTGACATTTTGTACTCGGTGTGTGATAGGGCGTGCTGATCGTGCTTTTGCTTTGTAGATTATGATGGCTACTCGTGTATGCGGCAGTGGGACCGCATTCAGTAGAGCTGATGTTGTTCGGCCGGATGATATATAGACGGTGAGATGCTTAGATCTACAGCATTTCTGTTCATATGTACGTGTAAAAGTGTATGTCGTGTTGGTAATGTAATTTATTCTGCCCGGCACCGGTGCCTTCGTAATCATTTCTTGCTGTGAATTTGCTGTTAGGAGATACGTGTGTGAAGCGGTTGAGATTGATATATGCTCAACGATAGCCTCGTGTCGATGACGTCCGTATCTTAAGCGATGGCAAGCAAAAAGACAGTGCGAACCAATATTAACGAATGCGATGCATGTGCGTTCCAAACCGCTGCAGCCGATATACTCGGCAGAGCATACATTGCAGATATGTGACATCCTGCAGCTCTATGGCAAGCGGACCGTAAGAATTACAATCCAGAGCTCTACACCACGATATAGCATACACCGATCAGTTCACGAATCCATGGTAGGCACGACCGTACGCAGGCGCTCCGGCACCAGCTCCGGCGGGAGCTTTGCGATCTGGTCCAGCGGTGCCCGCTTTGCCAGCGCGAGCAGGTTCAGCCGAAGCTGCCGCATACGAGGATCCTCGTCTTCGCCGCTCTCCGTCTTCGTCGCTGGCTCCGAGGTCGCGCCTTCCGTCGAGTTCTCCACCTTCGCGCTGTCTGGGGCCCCACGCCGCCTTGCGATCTCGTCGATTGCATCTGCCGAGCGGTCGAGTATGTATTGTAGCAGAGCCGCGTCCTCCTGAACTTCCGTCCCCGCCGTCACGCCCTCCTGGTTCTGCTCGATTGCATACTGCAGGTATTCCATCGCGCTGCCGGCACCCGCCGCACGCTCCTCCTCCTCCGCCTGTCTCCTCGCCTCCATCACCGCACGTCCATCCCACGCCTCCTCGACGCGGTAGAGCTCCTCTGGCGCACGGATCAAGGGCGTCATGTCGATCTGCACGCCTAAAGCGGCCTGCAGCTGGGAGAGATTGTGCGCGATGTGAGGGTAGAGATGTGCGGAGAGGGATAGCTGTAGGAGAACTTGAGGCGATGCGTGGAAGGCGGGGTCGTCTAGCCGGCGTGCGGCCTCGCAGAGGAGCCGATGCCGTCCGCCGGTGAGCGGCTCGAGGATGTGCGTGTCGACGTATGCGGCAAGCGGCATACCCAGAGCCTTGTTCAGTGGTTTGCGGGTTTCCTCCTGTGCGAGTCAATTCGTCAATGCCTAGGATACCAGATGTAGAAGCTTACGAGGTCCTCGGGCGGTCTGACGAACTCTGCGAGACTCCGCACGTACGCAAGTCCGTCTACACCTCCGTAGACAACGTCCCGCAGATACTCCTCCGCCTCCGCGTCCTTGCCCCTCCAGTACTCTTCTCCTGCACCCTCCGCACCACCCATCTGCACATCCATTGGATAGCCTTCTGCCGTGCTCGCCTCGATACTCTCCCGTATTGCCTCACACACCTTCTCCTCCGAGTTGAACTCCTTCGCTATGTCCTTGACCTGCCTCTGCTTCGCGAGCTCACCCATCAGCGTCGCATACACGCCAAAGTCCACCGCCGCAGGCTCTCGGCCGGGCGGAGACTCGCCCTCGTTGTCCCGCTCACGCGCGCGGCTGCGCGCAGGCGCATTACGGATGATCGTCCAGTGTCGCCGAGTCGCGCGTGTGCGGGACCTGGCAGAGATCTTCAGCGTGGAGGGGACGGGGACCGGTGCGGTGGGCGAGGCAGGGAGGTTCACCGGGGATGGATAGGGTGCGCCAGGACGATCGGAGGGTCGGAAAGAGGGGAAGAGTGGGGTGAGGAGTGGTCGTGAAGGATACTCGGGGGCGAAAAAGGAGAGGACAGAAAATGGGTTGTCCACTGCGGGGTGTTAGCTTTCCTCACATCATATAGGATGTATGCTGCTCACGTTCAGCGTAGTCGAGGCTGCCGTCTGCTCGATACGGCGGGCCTCCCTTCTCCATCCGCAATCGCTCCTTCTTCGTTCTGTGTCGCTTGCCTGTATGGCTAATGAGCAATCAGTCACTTGTGAGCGGAACGCCACCCACCTCGCAACTTGAGCGCCAGCATCAATTCTGCCCAGTCCGAGCCCGGCGGGAACGCGCCCAGGCCATCCTTCGCACCAGGCAGTCCACCGTCATCCTCAAGGGTCTCCGACAGGGCGCCTGGCAGCTTCCGTGTACCTGCCGCTGCGGCAGCCCGCCGGCGGGGATGTGCGATCGTCGACGCAGTAGCGGGAGTGGGTGCAGATGCAGTGGACGCCCTGTCGTCGACGTCCATTGGCGTGCGATTGTCCTGCGCTTCGTGGTCCCCCTCGATCTCGATATTCCAATCCGTCTCGTACTCGATCACGCTGGCGGACGCCTTTGCGATGTGCTCGAGGGCAAAGGCCTCTATCTTCTCCGCTTCAGTATAGTAGATCGTGCCGGGCGGGTTGAATGTCTTTGCGTTCGTGGTGACCAGCCGGATGTCGTCCTGCGGAGGGATCAGAAGCGCTATTGACAAAAAAATGGCACTCCGCGCACCGCAAACTCCTCCAGTGATCGATATCTTCCGCGCTGGATCTTGTGAGACATCGTGCCTAGATCCATAGGTCGTTGAATCACATCCATGTAACCGGGGACCTGCGAGACATCCACTGGTTGCAAGAAAAATGCATAATCATCTTTCCTAACACCCCGAAAATTCAGAAAATACCCTAAAGGCTATGCGCAGAGTGCTCACTTTTTGATCTGCGCGATGAGTTTCGTGAGCACCTCCTTCAGCGGCTTGAGCTTTGGCGGCCGAGGGATCTTCTGCACCTTGCCGTCATCGTACGGACTGGTGAGGCTTTTCCGGCTTTTCTTGTTCTTTAATGCCTGTACTGTCTTGAGAGATGGGAGAACGAGTCGCAGGCCACTGCCTCCGCTTCCGCTGGCATTGTGGGAGTGAGATGATGAAGGAGAATCGAGAGCGTCGTCCATCGTTCCGGGAGTCGAACGTTAGGGAAGAAATTGTCACGTGTTAAGTTAGGTCGAATTATGGGCTGTTACGTCGCATCCTGAAATTGCAAATATGGGGATAACGGTCGATAAGTCGTCATTGGGACACGTTGGCCGGCGGCCACCTTCGGTTTGTTCGCTACATCCAGCGGTCCATCGCGCATGAAAGCTAAAATTACAATCAGTGGGCTAATCGTGAAAGGCGTGCGGACAAGATCACTTCTGCCGACAGTGCTGATCCGCTCGCGGTAACTTGTACGCGTTAAGACCGGATACCATGAGTTCCCTCACATTTCTGGTAACGGAGCTGCAGGTGCGTCGGATTTCGCGGGGCACATACTGTACATTTAACCGGGTCCCTTTTGTCTAGTCGCTCGCTAGTGAGACGCGCCGGAAGCACCCCGACGTCCGCGAGGTATTTGTCTGATTCACTGCTGCGACTTCCGACTGTGGATCGCGTCCACGTTGCTGATCACATCTTCGACTTGGTTTAGGCTGCAGAGAAATCCCTTGCTATTCTACGCTCATCACCAGAACAGGCCACTATCCATTTAGCGTCAGGTACGATGCTACTTTCGCCGGAGGCAGGATGATCTCATTTCTCTTCAAAAGATGGACCTCAATCGGACGATCTCCTCCGTCCCGTCTTCATGGGATGCGCCACGAAGAATGCGATAGTCGTCGCTATTTCCCTGGGGTCGCTTCAACGCCTCATTGCGCTGAAGGCGGTACCGCAGAGCGCCGTACCGCTCATCGTCACTACTATGAACGACTGCATGAACCAGGGAGTCGATATACAGCTGCGCATACTGCAAACCCTACTCTCGCTCATCACCAACTTCCCGGCTGTTCATAGCGAACTACTGGGTGACGTGTGTACCCGCGAAATGCGGAAGCATAGACACAACTGATAAGTCAACGTAGGCTCTCCTGCTATGCTTCAAGCTCCAGGAATCGCGCATAGCGGTCGTATCGTCAACTGCTGCCGCGACTCTCCGACAATTGGTTATGTTTGTCGTGGACAAAGTCGTGGACGAGGACCACCGAGACGAGGTTGAAGTCAGCTCAATGACAGAGACGACTCTTCCGAATGGCAAGACCAAGGCTCTCGGCCCATCTGCTCTCGATGCCTTTGCTGTATTCCAGGACCTGTGCTTGCTAGCGAACGCTGAACATCCTCACTTTTTAAAGCTGAATGTGCTACGAAAGACCTTTGCGCTGGAGCTCATCGAGAGCGTGCTGACGAACTATCATGATCTCTTTCGAAAGGTATTTGTTGTGCGATTTCTGATAGAGAAGCAGTGATTTAACTGCTTGCAGCATGACGAGCTTCTACAACTCCTACAGCACCATCTTTCTCCTTTACTGCTCAAAGCTTTATCGGACCGGCCAAACTTTCCCCTCACCCTGCGTGCGACGCGAGTTGTTTTCCTGCTGCTAAAGCAGTTCTCCCTCGAGCTCAAGACTGAGTCCGAAGTCTTCCTCATGCTGCTCATCAGGATTGTGAGCGCGGACGGGACCGATGGTGACCAAATCGATCACGCTCACCCACATGGGCCGCGTCCTTTGTGGATGCGTGTACTCTCAATGGAGGTGATGAGAGGGTGAGTTGATTGCCTGGACAGTCGACTACTGACGCACAACTTTCTCCTAGACTTTGCAGTGATGCCGAGCTGATGCGTAAGATCTGGGAACGTTACGACGCAGAGGCTGAGGGTTCGAAAATCTTCACATCCCTCGTCACAGCACTGAAGCGCCTCGTGACCGAGAAGCCCGACCTTCTTGGAGTGTGCACAGAGATGTACGGTGTCGGCGTGCCTACAGGCAGTGGGTCAAGTTCAGATCTTAGTGCATATGGCTTGGATGTCGGCGGCGTGGCTGGAATGGTCGCAAATGCTGCGAGCGCTACGGTATCAGGTGTTGCAAGCATGATGGGCTCTGAGGTTGGGCTCAGTATGCAAGGATCAGCGATGAAGCTGCAATGGTGGGTTGTGCGAGTAAGCAACGACCCAGTTAGCGGCTACTAATGTGGCATAAAATGTTACAGCATCGATCAACTTGACAAAGCGGATTCCCCGGGGATTCCAGAATCGTACATCTATCTGCTCGGAGTTCAGTGTCTCGTCGCACTTTGCGAGGGCTTCTCGGCGTTTACAGGGCCTCTGTACAACACGATTATGCTTCAGCGTCCCCGCGCTGCAGGCGAGCCTGTCGTGCGTGCACCCCCTGCGTTGAACATTGACGCAATTCCCGCCGAGGAACCATATGCGAAACCACTTCGCACCGTCCACGACATGGTAGAGAGCGGATGGCCTGCATTTCTTGCAGCGCTTTCCTTCCTGATTTCGACCAATCTCTCCGACGAACTCTTCGTAGACGTCCTAGCAAGTTACCAAGCGCTTACTACGGTCTCAGGCATGCTCGGGCTTTCTACACCTCGCGACGCCTTCTTCACGAGTCTCGCACATCTGGCGATCCCCATCGGGGTCTTGTCGAGCCTAGACGCTTACCCGCACCTTTCGATACATGGCGATCCCATCACTCCTCGGAGCACTGCCAGTACATTCTCAGAGAATCTTGGCCTCGCTCTTACAGGGTCTGCACCTTTGACACCTCCGGGATTGTCCGAGCGTAACATGGCTTGCCTTAAGGTACTCGTTAGTAGCGCGCTGTTCCTTGCTGGCAGTCTGGGCGATAGCTGGCTGAACATTTTGGAAGTGCTTCAAAATGCGGATTATGTTCTGTCGGTGAAGGGTGGTCGTCCATCTGCGTCGAAACGTGCCACCATCGGACCAGGGTCTGGCGTGTTGCCCGTGGCCCGCACAGGCTCATTAGGTAATTCACAATCGCCATCGGCTGGCGGTTCAGGTGGCAGTCAGGGCCAAGTGCCAGCCACTCACCCACTTTTGGCTGATCTGGATCCGGAGAGCATGCAGCATGCGATTCAGCGCCTTTTTGATGCGTCGAAGAATCTCGATGATGATGCGTTCCGGGACTTTGTCAATGCTCTTTGCAAACTCAGCGCAGCAATGGTTGAGATGCAATCGTCGAACAACGAAACGTTGGTTCGTGACTCTGAATCAGTAGATGATGTGGCGAGCAGTCCTACTTTGTCTCCACCTTCCGACTCGGCACATCGCAGAAGGGTTAGCGGGCTCCAGATGCTCCGGACTCCGGTAATTACTCTTTCATGCGCGAGTGACGTGTACTTACTTGGTTATTTGTAGCTCTCTGGCGACTTTGGGATCAGCAAACTGGGCGGAATAGCTACTCTAAACATTCATCGCCTCATCTATAGATCCCCCGAGGTCGCCTGGGATCCTATCACCGAACATCTCTTATCTGTCATTCTTAATCATACTGCTCCTGGTTCTGTGCGTGTCCAAGCTGCCCGTGTTCTCGATGACATACTCGTCGTGGTTCCCAGAAATCTGTCTACCACCGGTGACCTGCAGCCCAAAGTACAATGACGCGTATTGGACGTACTTGCTCAACAAGTGATATCGGACGGGATCGCGATGAACAGTTCGACCATCGAGGTGCGCCGGATGGGATTTGAGACTCTTCACCAGATCCTCCAGGCGTCTGGACATACGCTCGTCATAGGATGGGAAACCATTTTCGAGATGCTGAGCAGTGTCTGCAGGCCCGCGTTTCCCTCATCATTATCTGTGGAGACTGTAGTAGGTGCATCATCAACGGCTGAGCCTTCAAAGACAATCCCACAGCCACTCACGTACACAAGCGAGAAGGGATACAACACGCTAGTCAAGATCGCCTTTCAATCGCTGACTTTGGTTTGTGATTCTCTGACATCACTTTCACCTGAGCATCTCCGGCTATGCATCAGCACTCTTGGCCAGTTCGGTCGACAGGCAGATACCAACATCGCTCTCACCGCTGCGGAGAGCTTGCTTTGGGGTGTGTCGGACTCGATACAGGCGAAGCGCAAAGATTCGGACAAGGAGCCGGAGTATAGTGAATTGTGGATGTTCCTCTTGACGGAGATCCTAGGCTTATGCACGGATGCCCGACCCGAAGTGCGCGTTGGCGCTATCCAGACATTGTTCCGTACGCTTCAGCTCTACGGAGCCACGCTCAGCCTAGAGACATGGGACGCATGCATATGGAAGATCACGTTCCCGCTCCTCGACGCAATCACGGCTGGCGTCCGACAAGCCGCATCTGGCGAACCGGCGCACTTTGGACCCATACCAGCTGATCAACAGTGGGACGAGTCGAAGATCCTCGCATTGCAGTCCATCGGCTCCATATTCCATGAGTTTCTCGTCTCCAAGATCATGCCACTGGCGTCATTCGCTGATGCCTGGGACGTCTTCGTCAGCCGCATCCGGGATTCATGGCTGCATGACAATCGGGATGTGAGTGCCACAGCGGTGCGCTGTATGGATAAAGCGATTAGGGCCTTGGCCGACGTGAACGAAGATGCCGCAAATGCAACCGAGGCTGCATTGGACAGAGTTTGGCGTGCGTGCGATGAGATGGGGGAAGCCGTTCAGATGGGCGGTTCTGAGTGGTCTGTCAATCGGTCATCGGTGAAGGAGACCTTCAGGCCGTTCACTCAGGAGAGCCTGATGGCGTTTGTGGACGTCATTCGTAGCATGCGATCTGTTGCAAAGTCGGTGCACAAGCACGAATGGGCCATAGAACAGCTTGAGCGGCTTATGGCTATACTCAAAGGTGAGCTGTCTCAGGCGTTGTCCTTGACGTGTAGCACTGAACTCGCGTGGAGGTGTCCTCACGTATCCGGATTCGCAGGACTTCAGACCTGATGTGGACGCACTCAGCCCGGTTCAGGTATGTGCTTCTGATGATTGTCATTCTGCAAGGTAAACAATATAAATGTACCGATAGGGAGCCGTCTTGGAGGTCATCGATACTATCGACCTCAATGTACCAGGAGCCTCATCTCTCGTCCTACGAGACCTATCAGAATATGTGACACTGCCGTTCCTTGCAGCGTTCGACATCCCAGAGCCGAAGCCCTCATCGGTCCCGGCTCGCTCAGCTCAGTTGCGCATGGGTCCTAAACAGGTGACCTACATCGGGTTATCGAAGAAGGTCATGCCGATGCTCGTCAATCTGTTCATGCGATTCAAGGACCAAGCTACATTGTATGTCGATGGGACTCTTGAAAGAATTTTCTCGGTGCGTCCGGTGGTGGACCTCGTGCCAGAGATTGCTTAATTTTGCTTGCAGGCTTACGGCATACCGATCAAGATGAAATATGAGTGCCCTGCGCCGTCAAAGTTTGGTAAAGATCCTCCGCTATGGAAGACAGCCACGACTAGCTTCCTCAAGATCGTCAAAGAATGTGGACCACAGATGCAAGCCCTCGGAGAAAGTGAGCGTCGGTTTCATACACTTCGCTCCGTGGCTGACATCCGTGAGCAGGCATCCCCGATGACAGAAGAGAAGCTATATGGCGGCAAATCGTTGACACCTTCAGAGGAGGCATCTTAGCCGACTAGTGAGCCGCGTCACTGACGAGATCCTCACGTTTCAGCTAACGATTGATCGAAACCATCCTTCAGCTCTCCCGCCGACAGCTTCCCGCTTGACGTCCAAGAAGAAGAAGAGAACTTTGACCTCGCCCTGATCGCCGCGCTCGAGATCGACGTGATCCCCTATCTCGGGGAAGCCTGCATCCCGGACTATCTCATTCTGCAGCTCGCGCGGATCCTGCGCCAGGGCAGCCGGCTGCGCGATGAGGACAGCTATCTCCCGCCCTCACCAAAGTCGATCTCGGAAGGCTCGGGCAAGAGACTGTCGCAGGAATTTGAAAAGATAGAGCGGTTCGGCGACCCCGAGCTCGCGGTGGGGAGCACCGAGGCGGGGCGGACACTTCCGCGCGAGCGGTTCTCGTATTGGTGTTTCGACTTGCTGTTCCTCATCTGCTCTGATACAGCCAAAGGTGTGTTCAGCACCGTAATTCTTTCCTGCACACGAAGGCGTGCTCATGCAGTGTCGGGCAGACCGGATACCCTCACGGCGGCGGGTGGCCACGCTCAGCATATCCTCGCTGCTGGAGCGCTGCCGCTCGACCCTGGTGACGTACGTTGCGGACGAGGCACTACGCGGGAACCTTCCATTCCCAAGGTGACCATCTCTATCTCCATCTCCACGTTCGCGGCTTGACGACGCGTCTCACGCTCATCCCCCATCTCATCTCGTAGGGTCCGCGAAGAGGAGCTGCTTTACGTACTGCAGAAGCTGCTGTCGCTGCAGCTGTGGCCAGGCACGCTCTGGGCGGCGCTGTCCGACTCCCCTTCAAAACACTGCATCGAGCAGCCAGGTGCGCGGTTCTCAAGGTGATTTCTGTTGCAAGGAGCTGGTGCTGATGGTTGGTGGGTGGTGGGTGGAGCAGGGATCGACCAGTCGCTGGAGGCTGCACAGCTGATCGCGGACGCGGTGAAGCGCTCGCCAAAGGCGCATCTCTTCCATTTTTACCCCGTGCTGTGCGAGATCGTGGCGATCCCGCGCAAGACGCCGTCTGCGTGGGTCATCGCCGACCAGCCACAGACACCGACAGAGACCCCGACGCCTCCGGGGACGCGGAGCGTTATAAGCTGGAGCAGAGATGGGGCGCATGGGGCGGGCGAGGGGCGCGCGGTTGAGATGGATGCGAGGAGTTTGGTGAAGGACTGTTTGAAGCAGGTTGGGAGGGAGATGGGGGTGGGCGGGTAATAGATGGGTGGCTGCGTGTCCGTTCGATAGGTCCTTAGGTGATGCTAGATTCTGGATCTCTCGGGTATGCGTTTGTACATATGCGGACTTGTTCTATCGTACATTTCGAACAATCTATCGTAGACGCTATCCCTCGTGAGTGCTCGGTACTCAGGACTCAGTGCGGCGGCCCAGGAGGCAGCGGCACGTCCTCCTTCAAGTCCTCCTCCGTCGCGCCGAGGACGGCGAGGAGGTCCGTCCGTCCGAATATCCTGGCGGTCTGGATGGCGGTGGGCGTGCCGGCGCGGGGGTCGGCGTGGCCGTCGACGAGGACGCGCACGGCTGCGTCGGCGCCTTTGAAGACGGCGCCTGCGAGGGGAGATTGGCCGTTGTCGTTTACGCGGTTGGGGTCGGCGCCCTTGGCGAGGAGCGCGCGGGCGAGGTCGGCGTGGCCGCTGTAGGCGGCGAGCATCAGGAGGGTGTTGCCTGGTGTGTCGGCGCGGTGGATGTGGTGGGTTCGTAAGACGTTAGATGGTAGGTGATGGTGTACTGCACCTTTGTCGTTGGTGAGGTTGGCGGGGAGCCCGGCGTCGATGGCTTGGAGGAGGAGTGCCGAGTCGCCCTGGCGCGCTGCGTCGAACATGCGGTGCGCAAAGTCGACGGTCTCTTGTGGGAGGCTGCCCGGTGTGCTTGTGTCCGTGTTCACGGCGGCCTGGAAGTTAGTGTCATGTATCGTATGGGCGCGCGCGCTGGTCAGTGGCGTGCGGGACGAGAGGCTGGATTCAGACGCGTACCATGGTGGGTCGCGCGGGTGGATTACGACGGGCGACGACTTTGAAGAGACTGCACCACTAGGGAGTCAGTGCAGTTCGGTGGCACGCGGCTGCTGTGATGCAGATATCGATGTTGGGCACGAGACCAGGAAAGACGGGGCAGTGCCCGGCCCGCCAGAATCTCTCTCATTGGATCCGGGGCGGTATTATGTCTGCGCTGCAACAACGTTCCGGATGTGTGTAGGGTTATGGACTCGGGTGTACGCCGCACTGCGCGTGCGCGGAGGGCATATGGCGAGGAGAAGAGCTGGGTTGCCCGCTGGTCAAGATTGCTGGCGGGTGATGGTGGTGGTTCGTATAGTGTGCATTGCGCCGCGGTGGACGGACGGACGAGTGGTCCGGTCTGTGTCAGCGTGAATACGAAATCCGGATGCGTTAGATGACAAGGCGTGGTGCAGGATGATCGAATGACAATGGAGAGGAATGTGTCTCGGTATGCATGCTTGGGTGGATGGTTCATGAACAGCGCCGCGCGCAGATCGACTAGGCTAGCAGCGATTGGCTCGGGAAGTGTTATTTACAAATTGTAGCAGCCGTCTTCTTCTGGCAGTGGCTCAACAATAGAGGACAAGTCGAGAGCTCGTCTCTGCTACGTTACATACGTGCGCGATCAGGACCAGATTTCAACGTAGACTCTATGGCGTGGGGTACCCTCCTACCCCCAGCAGGGCGGCCCTTGATAACGAAGCATCGGCTACTTGGAAGAAGCGTCCATGTTCACTCAGGGCTGATTGACGTAGGACCGAGGCACTCGGAATGACGAAGGTGACTCTATTCTGGCTGCATCAGACCGTCTCGAACAGTCGACGAGAGGCGGCGGGAGAAATCGCGCGCATTCGTGGTGGATACTGCGATCAGCATTGAGTCCGGCGGGGCCCTAGGTCTACCGAACGGCGCAATTCACATTCAATTTCAGGGTAAGCCCTTGATGTGAATTGTGGAGGCATCGATTACCTACGAGAAGGCGATACGGTCTGGTGGGGACCGAGGGACACGGAGTGAAGAAGACAGCTCAGGTGCGGGGAGCGGCGACCTGGGAGCCAGTGATGAGCATGAAATGTTCTCCCACCCGCCGGTCTGCAATGAAGAGAGCGTAATGGGTCACTCAATGATACCAAGCGCTGCGTACCGCGTGAGTCGTCGCGGTTGGCGAGCGGCGAAGCCACGAAGCTCTGCGCGTACGCGTTATCGGCAGCGAAGCCCACCTTCTACGAGCACCCGGATTGGCCGCCCCTCGCGCGTCAGAAGCTCACGCTCCCGAAAAGCTTACCTTTGTAAGGATAGGATAGGCGAGCGTCGACGGGGCTCGGAGCAACTGATCAAGCAGAGCTGTGCTTTGACGCTGCTCTACATGGCGCGTCGTTTAATCCGAGCATGGCATATGGAGTACACTCTATGTATAAGCACGCTCTCCATGGTTGCAAGAACTTGTTGAAGTAATTGAAAGGTCGCGATGGTGCTTGACAGTTGAGCTGGTCCTCGAAGTTTCCAGGGCAAACGTTAAACGCGCAATGGTTGGTCCTATGGAAACTACTGATGGAGACAGGCTCGCCGCGAAAGCCGAACAGCCTCGACTTTTCGTGCATGCCCATCAGCTGAATTCGATTGTGACGACAGGATGCTCGGGTCGGTTGGGAGAACTAATGGCGGGGGGCTGATGGAAAGGTTGCGTGATGGAGGGTCCCGCGGCCGCCAGCCGAACTTGCGGTTCGATATCGGATCAGCATCGCGAACATCAGAACCCGGAGAAGGTACGCGTCGCGGATCGGCGTCCTTCAATCCCCGCATCACATGACCGTCACCACACGCGTCCCGTCACAGGCTGACGCGTACAGTCACGCTCCTCCTCGGGCCAGGCCTCGCAGCTCTCATGCATGCATGCGCGCACGCTCACCGAACCAGCTTGTCAGCCGCCGCCGCCGCTCCCGAAATAGCATAGATGCGCAGAGGACACCGTTGCGTTCCCAGGTGCGTCGTGAGCCGGAATTACCAAGCACAGGTCAGTGTTATGAATGCCGCAAGCCTTCCCGAGATGTCCGTCTTCTCGTCATTCACTCAACGTTCGAATTCTCAGGAGACTTGACGTCTGAACGCCGGCTTCATTTGCAAATGACACCGGCCATTATTGCTCGCTATGAGACGATTGCTTCGCGTAACATTCCGGGGGCGTTACGACAGTGTGCAAAACGAGTGTCTTGCGACCCTTTCTTTGGCAGGTTCATGCGCGGAAGAACTAGAGCTTGCGCGACGATACCGACATACAGCATCCTGCCCGAGGTTCTTTCCAGCATAGCCTGCCGTCGGCTCGTACCTGCCTTGTCGGGCCCACGTTCCCGCTACAGGATCTTTCTCATGGCTTATCCCGGCTCCCAGGCTTATTGTGTCCACTCAAGGTTCCCTCTCTATTTTACTCACGCTCGTTTCGCATCTTTGACCTCTGTACCGCTCTACAGATTCCCAAACTCTTCTCGAGATCCGGTGAACCGGATCTCTCTTATTGTGTTCCACTGCAAACCTTACGTGAGGTGTTCATTATGACGCCAGCACCAATTTCGTTTTGATGATTACGCTCCGCGGGTGCGAAAGAGTCCCTGACGTGATGGCCCATAGTCTATAGATCGCCAGACGCACGTACGTACGTACAGCGTGCTCCAACGTCCAGTTCTGGCTGCGTCGAGATGCGTCTGGTGCTGGCCGACCGCGGCGCGCGACCCACATTGTACCGAACGTGTCATACGCCATACGCTGGTGATCGCATCCCCTCTCCCGAGCGACTCCGCACACACTCGGCCATCGAACCTAGTTTGCGCGACCCTCTCTACCGCCCCTCCCTGTCCTGTGCCTGCCCTGATCGCAGCGAATGTACAGTCACCTTGACACCCCATCGACCTCTCGGGATGCGCGGGTATCCATTCCTCCCAACGCAACGTGCAACGCAACGCTGCGTCGGCCTGTCCTGCAGAATCGTTCTCCCGGCGTCGTATATGCGAGAACCCAAGTGGCCTGCGCCTTCCCACACACCCAAATGCTTCCGCCCAACGACAAATCAGAGCGCTCTCATGCAAACTTGGACGCACAACGGCGATAGGCCACGCTCGCGGATGGCAACGGCCCGGCGTAAACACCGACCACCCAAACTAAGTTGCTCGACTTCCCTGCATAATCTGACGTCGCTTCGATATCCAGGAACGGATGCGGATATGCAGCGAATTCCGTTCCCGTCTGGGCGCTCGTTCCCATAGAGTTGCACGGATAATCCGAGTGCTTTGCCATCATGGGTAATATATTCCGTAAATACAGCTGGTGCTAAGCAACTGGGGCGGCTCAGCGCCGGGCTCGACATGGGGATGGACGCCTCGCAACAGGTAGACGTCAAAGCTCATGGAGACAAGCTGCAGCACAGCGCGCCCGGACGACCGTTGACTCACTTACGCCAGCGAGATCTGCAATCTGGGCAGCGCAGATCTCGATCGTCACACTTCCATATCAGGCACTCATCCACGTGGTCTGCTCTGTCCGCCACGCATTGTTATAGTGGTAATCCTCGGAACGCTTCAAGCTGTGCGTTTGTTCGCCGCATTTTCAATTTTTGTCTTTCGCACCAGCGCCTCGTAAGTGAATATCCGTGTGTTCCGCGATATCTGACTGTCGAGCCGTCAAGGCGGTTTGCGCGCGCGCAAGACGGTGAGGAGGTAGGGTGATATTGCGGTTGCCACGTTGCAACGCGACGCCAGAGCAACGCGCGTAGTCATACCGGACAGCATCGGGGAATGTGTTCAGGCTCAAGTGATTAGTTCTAGATTGCATTTGGTGCCCAGCTAAATGGTCTTAACCGTCTTCTGTCGTCGCAGCCAAGCGGCGGATGGTGGCTCCTATAGGCCTCGGCGTTATAGAGACAAAAGAGGCATAGCGCTCTAAGAACCTAACGGAAATATCGCCAGAGGTCGTTTTGGCAGTCATTTTCTGCATCGAGCACCGCGCGATCAGAGAATTGATTTCGATTGTTCTCTCTCAAGGCGCTTGCTCAGCTCATTAATGCATGTCCGCGCATCGGGTCCCCGATCGCCCACCCACACACCCCTGTAGCGTATTTATACTATTCTACCGCGTCTTTGGCGACTCCCCCTTCCCCGAAGGCTCGATGACCCTGGAGCCCCCCGAATCTTGTATCATTTCCTACGAAGGCCTCATTTCCTTCGACGACGTACCTTCGCTCAACTAATCCGACACAATATAGTCTATCGCATGATAATCTTGTTCTTCTACGCAGTCTCCGACACCACGGCCCCCGTCCTCTAGCAATATGTCCGACCAACAGAGGAGCCCCAAGCGGTCTCCTTCTGCTACTATACGTACACTCTTTTCGCATTCGACAACTAACGATTCAAGGGGGGCTTCAGCTACCACGAGCGAGACGACTCCCGCTGCCGCCGCCGCGGGAGCTTCTCACGAAATGACCGGTCAACCCCGGCCTGAGGGGGCGGGAAGAGGAGGTATGGAGCACGGAAGGGAGCGTTCCAGTCCGTCCATGTCCTCCTCGCAGGGAGAGATGGCGGACACCGAGATGGAGGCGGGGCCGAGCCACTCGTCCGAGGGCGCGCAGCCCGCGCCTGCCCCGCCAAAGAAGAAACGCACAAGGACGCTCACCACACCCCACCAATCTGCAGTGCTGCACGCTCTCTTGGCGCAGGTATGACTTCCTCACCTCCTCTACAGCGCCGGGTTTGCTCAAAAACACTCTGATTTACAGTCGCGATTCCCCACCACGGCGATGCGCGAAGAGGTCGGCCGCGCAATCGGTCTCAGCGCCCGCAAAGTGCAGGTGTGTATCGTCTCTGCGATCTCGCGTTGATAGCACAGTTCTTGACGTTCCCGCAGATCTGGTTCCAGGCAAGTCCACCTGTGCACACTCTCCCTGTGGATGGGAAGAGAACTCATACCCATGGCCTTTGTATAGAACCAGCGCCAAAAGGCAAGGCGTCCCCGAGGACAGACGAGCGCACCCCTCACGCGCCCACCGCAATTCGGGCCTTTCACAAATGCGCCTCCGGCTGCGAGCGCGTCCGACGCAGGCGCCATTGCAGGGCCATCCGGGAGCTCATCTCAAGCGCCGCTCATGCACTTTGCAGTGGCCCCCCTCGGGGACCTGCCCGGGCGGGGCGGGCCATCCACTGCGGGCTCGGCGCGTCCAAGCCATCATGAGGCACCTGTGCCTCAGAGCCACTCGAGCTCGGCGGCTTCGACGCATTTGTCAGGCCCCGGGATCCCTGGGCCCAGCAGGCTTCTGACGCAATACAGCTTGCCGAGAGAAGCGGGCGACGCTGCTCGTTCTCACGAGCGATCGGGTTCTTTCGAGCGGTATCATCACGCCCTCCGACCCGCTGAGCCCTTCTCACCGTCCCAAGCTGCTACGTCGGCGGAGGAGGCGTGGCGCGCCGCCCGCGTGCCTCCGCCGCCGCCGCCGCCGCCGTCGTCGTCGTCGCGACACGCGCGACCGTTCTCGGAGGACTTGAGGATGCAGCAGAGGGAGTACACATTCGCGCTGCCGCCGCTCGTGCTCGGACCTGAACGAGACTCCGCGCATGTGCCACAAGCCAGCAACCGCCAGGGCGCTTCTTTCCGCCCCTTCCAGCCGGTTCAGCCTCCGCCATCAGCAGCCGATCATCCTCACTCTCGTCGGTGGCGCACGCCGGAACCAGAACCATCCTCCTCGTCCTCGTCGTCTGCACGCCATGCTGCCCTGCACATCCCTCCGCCGTTCACGCTGCAGCCTCGTCCGCAGTGGGACGACCCTGCGTTTTCGCCGTTTTCGCGTCCTCGCGCGTCCTCCGCTTCGGCTCCGGGCAGCCACTACGCTTTTGGATTCGGACAGGCCGCTGCGCTCATGAGCAATATCTCGTCGGAGCCCAACACGGGTCTTCCGCCAATCCTCAACCCGTCCCGCTCGCCTCGCGTGGCCGGCAGTCCTCCCTTTATTCCCATCTCAGAGTCTCCTCGGGGCCGTCCCGGCCAGCCACACCCCTCTGCCTCCGGGATAGTGTCTTCTCCGACCAGTCCGAGACGTTCAGCGCGCTCCTTCAACGACGATTACACGAATGACCAATACGCAAGCCGCTGAAGGCTTATCATGGCTCTCGTTTCCCACTTTCCTTCCACGATTTCGCATTCGACGTCTCTCATGAATCCAGACTATGCCCCTTGTAGCGGCTCTCCAACTCACACAGTACACCCAAATAATCGCTCCTTCACTCGGAATTTCCTTCGCAAGCTACACTCTATACGGCTAATGGGACCCTAAAGATACCTAATGGATCGCCTTAGAAATACCCTCATTTCCAAAAGCGACCGAATCATAGTCGCCCGTGCACCAACATTAGTACCCGTGTGTTATTCGCCTTTCGTTCATACACTAGTCCAAATCAAAGTAGTTGTAGTATCTCAATACATTGTGCTGTGCCTAAAGACGGCAGACTTACGGATGGCTGCCTTCCCTTCTTTCCTGTAGTCTGCGCCGAAGTAGATCCTCTTTAGCCATTGCTAATCGCTCGCCAATGCCACCATGTGCTTCCGAGCTATGATCAGTGTGATGAATGCCTTTCTCGTCGGGTAGATCCCCGGATATAGAGGCCATCTTCTTCTGGGCTGCAAATCGCACTCGCAGCTGAGCACGCCTACGAAGTCGCGCCTCTGCGTCATCGATCTCAGTGCTTGATCCCTGTGGGCCAGCCGCGTCGCTCCGAACGTGCCTTGCAACGTCTCCGTCACCTGGCTCTAGCACGTCGGATGCCTTCTCGACCGAGGGCGACCGGCCATTGCAAGGCTGGGAAGGGTTGTCATGCGATGCGGTCGGGATGCTGGTGATACGCTTCTCACGCGCGAGCTTGCTCAGCAGGATCGCGCGTAGATCAGTCGAGGCCGCAGAGGCGATGCCTGCTCGAGAACGCATTGGTTGTGGAAGTAACCGGAGGCAAAATATATGACACCGGCTTTGACACTCACCCGTGTGCTCCATACCAGAATCTGCGGTTGTGCTTCGCGTGCTCTCTGACTCAGAGCCACGTTGCTGCGCAAGTAGGGTGGTGTCGGTTGATAGTTGGGAGGTCGCGATGCCGAGCACACTATCGCGCGCAGCGGACGCAAGTTTTTCTTCCGTGCCGACCGCATATGCGTCGTCTGGAGATGCACCGACAGGCAGAAGGAAATGGTTAGTCGCGTTGCGCAAGACCATACATCGCACTTACGTGAGGCAATTTCGGAGGCCGAAGCAGACGGTCTAGCCGTGTGCGGTGAGTTTGGATCGGATAGCCGTAGCAATAAAGAAGGAACATCGGATGCAACTGCACGCCCATGCTTGTCGCCCGCTACAACGTCGCGCTGCTTGGAGGAAGCACCACGAATAGATAAGTGGGCTCGAACGGACTCCGATAGATTGAGGTTTCTAACTCTTGTTGCAGGTCTTTTGCGTTCAGCTCGTGCGCGTTCAGCGTTATTCGATGGACCAACACCGTGTGCAGCTCCTCGCGATGGTATAGCCTCAGGTACCTGCGCAGCCCCTTTGATCTCACGACCAGAACCCAAGTCTAGAATGCGCGCCGCATCTGGCGCCTGCGAATTGGCAAAACCCGGCGACATTTCATGAGACGCGCTGAGCGTGCTACTGCTGGCTGTGCCGGCATTCTCTGCACCTGTGGCAGAGTCGTCTCGCCTGGATGTATGAGTGCCGCCGGTACGCGACCGATCTACATCTTCACGACGTGCGAACGCACTCGCTTTCTCCTGCCGATCTTGCGGACCTGAGGTGTTCTCTGAATTGCCGTGGTTTAATCGCCGCAATCCGCTGGCTAGGTCAGTGGTTTTGCGGCTCTCCGCATCATCTCGCCGTTCAGACCGCTGGACAGGTTGAGGACGCCCGGAGTCCCGCCCAGGGCCACTTGGCTCACGAGAAGTAGATGCTACGTCATTTGCTGACCGACCCGACTCACGTCCCTGAGTGCCTGGAAAAGCGTGTCGGGCTCGCGGAGCAGACGGTGGGCGGCGGGTAGGCGAGCACGAAGACGAAGCAACATGTTCGGGGGATCGCGAAGGAAGCCTGCGGTGGGAAAGTTCGCGGGGCCGCGAACGTGATCTTGATCGCGAGTGGGAACGTGATCGCGACACCCAGCGGCTGCTCCTTTCGGGTACAAAAGGCGGTGGAACACCCTCCGGAGTGTCATACTAGAGTAGTAGAGCAGACTGTGAGCATTCCAGAAGGTTTCAGCCGCAAAAACGAACGCGACGACCTACCTGAACAACCGTGTCATAAATGGCTAAATCCCGGTACGGAGAACGGAGATAACTATACAATTCTGAAGATGGAAACAACGGTTAGAACCTATCCCAAAGAGGAGGAGAATGACTAGGAGTGCGTCTATGAGAAGTCCGGGACAACATTCTGACGCAAGACTATGGCTTTTCTGGACGACCCTGCTAGCAATCATGAGGACGCAGCAGGGCCCGTGGCCTATCTATATAAAATACCGGGATCCCGTGGACTAGTGCACAGGTTCGCTGTGCAACGTGCAGCTGAGTGGAAGCCAGACTGACCGACGATGAAATACAATCATCGCCACAATAACGTAACTTTCCAACAGGCTCATGAATGCGAAAACAAAAGGTTGCGCTTACTCACCATGCGCAAAATGCTCCGCGTTCACGCGCTCACCACCGCTATCCATATCCAGAAATTCGGCAAGGAGCCTCACGGCGGGCTCGGAGCGGATGTCCAGCGATTTCATGAGAGATAGCGTGAATGTGGTAAGGAACTAGCCCAATGCATAATCCATGCAGCGAATGAGGGGTTAGACAAGACGTCAGCAGTAAGGTTTGTATAAGGCACATTGTTGGAAGAACACATGCCGAGGAGAAGGTCGGGTGTTCAATGAGGAAGTTTACGTTGAGAAGAGCGGTGAAGTCCACAGAAGAGCAGTCATTAGAGCAGCATGTTCATGCGCGACATTGAACGACGTGCAGCCAAGAAGAGGGGAGCGTGTTCACGTGGAGAAACAAGCGCCAACGCCAGTTCGACAATAATGGTACACCAGTGCGTTGAGGGGACATAGATCGGCCCATGATTGAGTATTCATAATTGCGTTTGATGCATAAACGGACCGTTAGCCGCAAACCTTGAGTGAAATTTGAAGAACCGAGCGCACCTCCACATCCAGCCCCACCCATACCCTGAGCTCTCGCCTCAAGAAGACGGTAGCACGGCTCACGAGCTCAGAAGATGCGGCGAATTGTGCCGGTGTCGGAAACGGTTTATAGCGAGTGTAGGGATTGGATGCTACATGCTGGCAAATCAATGCGTCAGTGCATGCTGCAGAGGTTTTCTGACGAGCATCAAGTCCTCTGGGGAATAGCTTCGGCATGAATAAGTGCACGGGGGGCCTCATCTGGACATGGACCCAACGTCGGTTACCAAATGCGGGGCCTGCAACAGCCTAATATACACAAAAAGCGACATAGACAGAAGAATAAATGGGCAAAGGTGACCAGTTCCCGAGCAGAATGAAATGGTATAGGACGGGGTAGAGGCATATCAGCATATCTCACAAGCTCCAGACCGTCCTGCCAGAACGTGTTCCTGATGTAAAGCAGTAATTCACTCACTTTGGCATATAGATGGTGCCGATAGACCCATCTCCGCTTCTCGATAGCGGTCTCTAACTCGTCTGCCTCCTCCTGCACTCTGCGCTGTCTCCTGGTCCACTCTCGCTCCCGCCGACTCTGCGCACGACGCCTGGCGTCCTGCCGAGCGGCCCCTGCTATACCCGACAGGCGTGGCGATGCACGAAGAGGAGCGAGGTAGTGCTTTTGATAGTCGTATTTTGAGCGTATGTTGTGTATCAGGTAGTCCCCAATGGCCTGCGAGCAGAGCGGACAGCGGCGCGATTGCTCTGCATGAGTGAGCAGCGATTATGCAGTCAGTGAGCGCGTTCGGAACGGTGGTATGGGTCTATGAATGCATGCTTTTCACGCTCCCCATTGATGCGACGCGAAAATGACACTCACCGGTCCAGATGAGAAGACATTCGAAGCAAAACTCATGCGAGCATGTAGGAACAACTGTGCGGTCTGCAATCGGCTGAAGACAGATGCTACAGTGTTCCTCTTCCGTTTCTACATCCTCCACATCCACAGGCTCCTTCTTTGTACCTTCCGATAGACTGATTTCGACTACGCTGGGAGAACGAGAAGGAGACATGTCTAGCCTCGTGCGCTTTTCAGGCGGGCCTTCCTTCTCAGAGGACATCGGGTCACACATCAGGTCCTGCTGTAAACACTGACGAACAGAGCAATTGAGACTGCAGCAGATGCACCTCAGAGGTATATGCGTTCGAGTTGAGAATGGAAAGAGCGGTGTCGAGCGAGTCAAGATTGTAGCAGAGACCGAGCGCGCCAATCACTGTGCTCACTTGTTCCTCACTTTCATCATCATGACAAGCAGACTCCCGAAGCTCATTGCAATGGATCTCGAGTGCGCGTTCTACGCTATCTCTAAGCTATCATTTATTGCAGCACTCATCGCCTCATGCGTTGCGGGACCCATTAGCACAGTTACACGTTATGGGATCTTTGGATAGACACCCATATCACTCGTACGGATATTCCTGCCCTGTTGTTGCAGCACATCATGCTCAATCAAATCCGGGTATGATAGCACCGTTGCGGTCGGATGGGAAGATGTTGAATTGCGTGCGGGACAGGTGCGTGCTTGCTCAGATTGAACTGGCCGCATGGCACATTGATACCCACCATGCAGATATAACCGCGAGATCGAGTTCTATCACGATGTTCCCGACGTCCTGCATCGACTGCGTGAAGCTGGAGTCATCATTGCTACATGCTCTCGTACGCATGCTCCTGATGTGTATGTTCCAACTGGGCTGTAGCCACGAACTATTGCTGATATCCATCCTAGAGCACGCCAAGCGCTGTCGATGCTCCTCGTACCTCCGAAGGCTGGCGAGAGGCATTCGTCCCCTACTCCTGCCATCAAATACTTCGATCAGTTGGAAATTTATCCAGGTTTGTCGCTGCCTCGAGATCATTGGCAAGGCTGCAGCGTATTTATGGACTTTCCTGCAGGGTCTAAGGTCAAACATTTCATGAAGCTGCACGAGAAGACGGGTCTACCCTACTCGGAAATGGTGAACTTAGAGCCAGTTGTCGAGGAGTGTCTGAGCTGATCTATCCCACACAGCTGTTCTTCGACGATGAACATAGAAACAGCGACGTTGAGTCTCTTGGTATTACGTGACATTATTTCTCGTTGTGCACCTCGTTGATTCATGAGCTACAGGCGTGACATTCTGCCTGGCTGCCAATGGCTTAGACGAACGCACCTTTCAACATGGGCTAGATACCTGGCGGAAGAAGCATCTGATGAAGGTCATCGAGGACGCGGCTGATGTAACCGAGGAACAGAGTTGACTTCAGGATTCCAAACGGTGTCACGAGCAATAACTGTATACAGACAAGGACAATAAAAGCTTCGGCATGTGTAGCATCACTTCACAACAGTACTAATGAACATCAAAGCTTGTCAGGAGGGTCAGCAGGAGTGCAAGTGGGGATCACGTCCTTGCGATAATGTTCTCTTTAATTTTCGTGCAGGAATCATAAGCTGGCCCACGGAGGCGAGAGACCTCTCGCGGCAGGTCCATGCGTGCGTCGCGTCGCGTCGCGAAAATCACGTGCTGAGAACAGCTGCGTCTCGCCGTCTTCTTTTCGAGCGTCTCCTTTAGCCTGCATTCACGACACTGGGTTCAATCAATGATTCACCGCAGACACGAAGCGATTTGCGCACGTGGCAAATGCTTAGCAAATGTGTACAGGTTTTTTGCCTTTGTGATCTCGATTTGCTACGGTTCCTTCCCACATTCCATATTAAGTATTTGCATATAATATTTTAGAGGAAGAAATTTAATTTATATATTTTAAAAAATGACACCATTTTCAAACTCACCAAGGACATTTGAAATTTGAATGCCGTTGAATGTTATACATACGTTTTTGAATTCCAAAACATCGCACATATAAAAATGCCCAATAGCAAATAAATTTAAATTTTGAGTGCTGTTAAATGTAATCATACATTTTTGAATATAAAACCATCTCATATATAAAATACCCAGTAGCAGATGAAGGTGACCTTCATAGTAATCTTGGTACGGAGCGAGACAGCTATACAAAATTAAAAGCCAGAGGCCTGCTTTAGCCACTCATTAGATGCGCCCACTGCCTATTTGAGACGTGCAGCCACTGCTGCACTGGCCTGGGCACTCTGGCAAACCAGCAAATACCATCAGACTGGCCAAGTGAGGGAGCACCCAGGCCACTGCTGCAGCAGTGGCTGCACGTCTCAAATGGGCAGTGGGCACCCACACCACTGGAGCAGTGGCTGCATCTCAAATAGGCAGTGGGCACCCACGCCACCGCAGCAGTGGCTGCGTCTCAAATCGGCAGTGGGCACCCATGCCACCGCAGCAGTGGCTGCATCTCAAATAGGCAGTGGGCGCTCCATCAAAGATCCCATCAGACCGGCCCTAAACTGGAGGCCTTGAATTACCTGCGGATTCACTATGGACGCCTCTTCTCTCTCACTTCCGCTCCACCTCCTAGGCTTTCTTTGCGCACGCATCTTAGTGTAATAATGTAGCAGCTAATGGACTCAATGTAGTGTAGACTTGTGTAGACTTAGTGTGGACGTTAGCCGTGGACGTTAGCGTAGACTTGTGGTAGAACGACCATTCATGAACTTCTGACAACTGCATCACGACTGTGTTATGACCCGTCTCAAATCAGAGAGAAAGGATGGATACAAAAATGAGGAATCATCGGTGCACGGAGCGCTACTCATGTCGGTCGCTGAACAGGTCGCATCACCCAGCACAGGCGAAGTCTCTGCGGTGAAGGAGGAGGGAGCGAGACTCATATCGGTCGCGTAACGGGTCGATACACGGTGGAAGCCTGACAGCGATGCGCATCATCATGCTCCGCCCATTTATCTCGCGCATCGTACGCAGCCTGCCCCTCGACTGGCGCAATGCCCTCGTCGACTGGATGCCCATACCGGCCCTACGTGAGATGCGCGAAATCATGGGCACACTCGACAGTTCACGATCATTTAGCACCGTTGACTGCCAGAGTTCCATTCACCCTTCAGAGGCGTGAAACGGATAGCGCCTGGAAGGAATCGTAGGGTGCGTAACAGATTTCTAGGAGTTGAAACATGCATGTTGACTGATCTTTCCTCCACACCTGCTTTCTAGCAGTTATCGATGTTCAATCTCGTGCCTTCGCCTGCAACATATGATGAGGAATATGCGACCGTACAGCTTTGCGGTGCCAACAACAGCGATTCGGAGGAGCAAGACTGCAGACCATCACCGCGAATGCCTTCGAAGTCACTACGGAAGCATTGACGAGGTACACGAGCAATCAAATCTCAGTGCGTGAGTTCATCGTCAAACGCCTTGCCCCGTGGAAAACAGTGTTGGTTTGCTCACAGTAAGCGATTGGACATTAAAATCATTGCGATTCATCTGAAGGTATGGCGATATAGATCTCCAAGCTGCTGTTCTGCCGTCCACTTTCACGCACTTCTGCGGTGGTATCCTTCCGATCTTCCCCATTGCTGATAAAGAGGGAGCATATGTGAATTGCAATCAATCCTCAGACTGTCACAGATTTTCACGTTTTCACCTCTGCACGTGACCAAGACATCATTTGACATCAGCGCTAGGCTGTTCAGAAAGGAACGAACCGGTACGCGAAGTACTAACAGTCCTAGGTGCCCCGAAGGTCCAGGTCTAGTCACGTGACATATCACATGATATCCACACATGTGACAAGTAGCGCTGGTATTAGGTAAGCCTAACTTATACAGTAATATCATCCCACCTAGAAGCCACGGTCGGACTCCGGAAGAATCCAACGAAGGGGATACATGCCACCGGAGATATGTTCTTAAGGGGATATTAGTTCACATGCACGAGGTAGATAGATACCACGCCACCGGAGATGTAGCCATTACAGGCAATACCATTATCATGGTCTTACTAAGTAGTTCGGAGGTTCGGCATGCATGACACACATAGTCTGACAGGTAGTGGTAACCAATCAGACAATGTCCATTAGCTAGCGGTTCTGGGGTATCAGGGTACCAAGGGTCCCTCCGCTCATGTATATAAGCCAGAGCTCTGAGACGCATAAGTCCCCCAGACTTATTCTCATCTCTGCTACGCCTCTTCATACAGTGTTACCAGTGCTCACTTGCAAGGCACTGCTTTACCTTGATTATCTTTGTGTCCATCCTTACATCGACAACAGTCAGTAAGTGTTTGATCATAAGGTCATAGGCTTAGTCGGCGCTCTGCATCCTAAGTTTGTGATAGAAGAATAAGTCTCCTTATCTTACCTGCCTCGAGTGCCTGCCCAGCGTACTCACCACAGTGTTGTGTCTTCGCACGTCCACCCGCACATTAGTGGTGTCATATCTTCACCTGACGTTCTGTCAGTCGCCGACTCTACCAGCGTAAGCTGCACCAAGGCATTGCGCAGCATCGACGGTGTCATCCGTCATCCTCGAGCGAGAACTCCAGAAGAGTTCCCCTGCCAAGGCCAGGACACATCTCTACGGGAGGTCGGCCCCCTCGCGGCACTAGTTCAGTTTCTATTATCCAGACTCCCTCGATCAGGCGAACGAGACTACCTGCAGGACCATCTGGTCCAGATCTCAATCAAGGGACATACGTCGAGACCGCTACTGGGTCTCATTTCATTTATCCTCTCACCGTCTCCATCATCTCGACTCAGCGCGTCGAAGGTACCCTTCGACAGATTCGTATCCTACTCACCAAACGATATCGTCGTCAGCTTGATGACCACGACATCTTCGACCTCGAGCATCTCATACTCAAGCTCGAGTCCATCCGCACTGACATCGTGGAGTTCAAGCTTTCGTTCGTTCACCAACACGTGGTTCGCGACTTCTGCAACTACGTCCAGGAAAGGAAGCATCAGGGCAGAGAAGCTCGCTGGATAATCAGAGATATTATCCAGAAATATCGTCTAGGAATACAGGTCACAGGGCGACCTTTGCTGTAGATATGAATATCATTTTGTATATGTCTTCATCAGGCGATTCGAACAATCTTGATAATTTCGAGCACATCAATCCAATCGGTCACACTTTCGATTATTTTTGGGATTCAATTCCACGAGTTCTCTGAGACAGAGCAGGAGAAGCGTTTGCTACATACGAGGACACGTTTCACATCGATTACCACGACGTATATCACATATACGCCCTTCAACTCTATTCAGAATTTGATTGGAGGAACGTCGCGGTCCATATCTGCTATATCCCTATCGGAACCGAAGAACCCGAAGATCGTCTCACTGAAGCTTACAATAGCTTCGTCGATTGGCTCGAAGAAATCGAACGTCTTTGCGATATCCATCATAATCATCAGTGGCCCGCAGTTCGGGACAAGACCAGGTTTTTGTGGCAACCCTTCGTCAAGGTCATCTATCGAGACCTTCATTTGCTGCGAAACCAATGATCAGAACGAGTAATTGCCCGACAGGCCACGATCGCAAACAGACATATCGTCGAGTTCGAAGAACATCTTCGTGAGATAGAGGAAGAATTGTAAGATGACGACCTCCACCCCAAATGATCCAAGCTTCTCTCGTGCTCCATCTCCAGAGCTTCCCGCACGACTCAATATTGTATTGCAACCCCCGAATCCTATAATTCGTCAAGCCCTCACCGACACGGTGCCTCCAAATGCAAATATACCTGAAAATGTAAAAAATTGGGTAGTCGATCTCGTCACAAACGTGGTGGAAGAGATGCGTCAACAAATGGTGGCGCATTACGAAAATCTTATCCAGCGCCAAGCGCATACAATGGAACGTAACACCACGGAGTTTCACAATCGGACGGTCTTCTTAGACCAACATCGTCAACAATCCGAGTCTCGAATCGCAGACTTGGAGAAAACCTCGTCAGCTTTACTTGAGGAAAACAAGACCACTAACGAAGCATTTGTGGCAGTTGACGATGAAATCAAGGATCTCCAAACGAAAGGAGAAGACCTAAAGAAATCACATGATCGACTTTGTGCATGGGCATCTACGCAGGGATGGAAAGCAGGGCAAGGCGGTAACAATGTCGACAACACGGACGACGACGATGAGCCGTCATTTGGTCGCAAGGGTAAAGGCGTAAAAATTGACCAACCAGAAAAATATGGTGGCATTAAGGACGGAGTCAATCTCGATGATTGGCTCGAACAAGTTATGCTCTGGTTGAAATATACTGGACATACAAAAGATGAGTCCAAAATTATGTCTACCCTCTTGCTCCTGAAAGGAGGAGCACACGAATACATGCGACATTGGATTACCGAAATAAACGAAAATAATGAGGCACCAGGAACTTGGGCGGAGTTCGTCGCTGAACTTCGCACGGCATATGAATCATTGGACAAGGACGACAAGAAGTGAATGGAGTTAGAAGCCTTCATCAAGAAGGATCATCGAGACTTCCGAAAGTTCGCAGAAGACTTCCGTCCAAAGGCAACCGGTACGGGCTTCTCGGATTAAGACTTGATCGAAAAAATCAAGAAACATATTCCGGAGAAAACGTGGCTGCTCATGTTGGTGGACACCACTAAGGACAACTGGCCCAAAAAGTGGACCGAGTTCCTTACATTCGCACTCCGGATATTCACATCACTACAACGAGAAGGCCACCACGCCAAGGCCGAAACCAAGGACCCGAATGCTATGGAGGTTGATGCAGTCGGGAAGAAGAGAAAAAGTAAATCGGGCAAAGCGCGAAGCGTGCAAGACGACAAGTTGGTCTGCGCCAACTGCAAGAAGAACAAGCCGACATTCTTCAAATCGTCGAAACGCTTCGGCAAGTATTGCACCGATTGTTTCAAATTGGACCATGTCAAGAGGCAGATTGAGAAGGAAAAAGAGACAGCTGCGAAAAAGAAGGACGGGAAGAAAAAGGACGACGCCAGGAACAAATCCAAGTCGTCCAAGACGCGACAGGTAGTATCTGATTCTGCTTCATCAGATGCAGAGAGCGAAAGCTCTGATACCGAAGAAGAAAAGAAGCCAAAAAAGAAGAGCTCTTCCTCTAAGACTAAGGGGAAGGGTAAGGAGACAGCTGCGCATATCAGCGACCGCAGCATCCACTCGGAAAGCAAGCCTGATGCATCCGAGTTGGACGAAGATTAGCCTTGAGGGCGAATGGATCCAGTTCATCAAGGAAGGTGGGAGAGGGCTCTTCAAGGAAGGATCGGAAGGGTTTTCTCAAAGGGGATCTGTAGGCAGCTCGTCAGAGTCCCCAGAACATTATATAAGACCTGTACATTTTGCACCCGAATCAGACACCTCTGTAGATCGTCGCAACGCAGAGGATGATAATGTAACAATAAAGAATTCGTCTCCAAATTAATCATCATTCTATTTACCAGTTACATTATGGGTGTACGGCAAAAAATCGAGCGCCGAAGCTTTAGTCGACTCAGGAGCATATTCCATGTACATCAGCAAGCGATTCGTAAAGAACAATCGAATCGCAACCTTCAAGCTTAATACAACGTACAAGGTGTACAATGCTGACGGATCCCAAAATAAACATGGTGAAATAACCGACTATGTAAAAGCATACCTCAAAGTCGGAGATCATGGTTCTACCCATCGTCTGCTAGTCACAGACATTGGAAAATTAGACATGATCATTGGGATGTCATACTTACATCAGCATAATCCAGAAATCAACTGGCAAGCTGGAGAATGGAAATACTCACGATGCCCGAGTACGTGTCACCACCAGAGGCTTCGTAAAAAACAACAAGCCATTGCGAGAGAGGAAGCTGAAGAAATCTCGCAATGAGCACAACAAGTGGCAGATGAGGAGCCAACTGCATTCCGAATGTTTAATGGACACAACATCGATGCAGTAAATCCTATCATCTCGTGGGTCGAAATGGACGACCCCGAAGCTGAACAAATAGCCCGCATGATACTTTCTATAGCAGATTGTGGCTATGCTGAACCAGAAGAAGACCTGAAAGAAGCGGCACCCCAGTCAAACACTGGCAGCCCAGAAGATCAGGTTATTAATGAAGTAGAATCTTGGGAAAAACCAGTACCAGATTATCTACATTCATTTGGTGATGTCTTCTCCAAGAAAGCATCTGAAAGGATGCCAACTCAAAAGCCTTATGATCATGCAATCGAGTTTGAAGAAGAACATGAATTACCACGACCAAGCAAACTCTATCCTATGAATCCGGAGGAAAGAAATTCCCTAGATTCATGGATCGACGAAAACCTAGCAAAAGGCTACATTCAAAAATCGAAATCACCTATTGCTGCCCCAGTATTCTTTGTCAAGAAAAAGGACGGCACACTAAGACTGGTACAAGACTACCGAAAACTTAATGCTATAACCAAGAAGAATCGCTTCCCTATTCCATGAATAAGCGAGCTTATCGATCAGCTCAGTAACGTGTCAATATTCACCAAGCTGGATCTCAGATGGGGATACAACAATGTTCGCATCCGCAAGGGTGATGAATGGAAAACAGCTTTTGTGACGCATCGCAGTTTATACGAGGCCACGGTTATGTTTTTCGGTTTCTGTAACGCACCAGCCACCTTCCAACACATGATGAATGAGATTTTAGATGATCTTATTCGGGAAGGTCACGTGATCGTCTACCTCGATGATATCCTAATCTTCACTAACGATTTGAAACAACATCGGAAGATTACCAAAGAGGTAATTAAAAGATTACGGGACAACGACCTTTTTGCCAAACCAGAAAAGTGCTTTTTCGAACAGCCCTCGATTGAGTACTTAGGGATGATTATCTCTCAACGTGAGGTTAGTATGGATCCTCAAAAGGTCGCAGGTGTACTCGACTGGCCTGAACCCAAGAAGGTCAAGCAAGTACAAGCTTTTCTTGGGTTCGCAAATTTCTATTGTCGATTCATTGAAGGATTTGCCAAAAAGTCTCGACCACTCAATATCCTTACACGAAAGGATCAGAAATGGGTATGGAGCAAAGAGCAACAACAATCATTCGATGCTCTCAAGAAAGCTTTACAACAGCTCCAATTCTGGCATTACCGGATGATACGCATCCATTCCGGTTAGAAACAGATTCCAGCGATTTGGCCACTGGCGCATGCCTCGAACAACTCAAAGACGATGGGTTGTGGCATCCAATCACATTCTATTTGAAAAGCCTCAATGAGGCTGAGCGGAACTATGAAATCTATGACAAAGAGATGCTCGCAATTATTCGAGCATTGGAAGAATACCGACAACATGTCGAAGGTCATCCGCTCCCAGTCGAAATATGGTCCGATCACCAGAACTTAACCTATTTCAAATCAGCACAAAAGCTGACGAGGCGGCAAGCTCGATGGTCACTATATCTTACACGGTTCAACATCCAATTACATCACAAACCAGGGAAATCAATGCATCATGCGGATCCTCTGTCCAGGAGGCCAGATCACGAAGAGGGGGTAAATCTCGATAATTCTGACAAGACTCTGCTCAAACCGGAATATTTCACGATTAAAGCTATTCAACATACCCATCTTGCAGTCGTCACAGATCATGATTTGGTGGACAAGATCAAGGAGGCACTACAAGACGACAATGTGAATAACTCATACCAAGAACTACTCAAGAAAGGACAACGAGAGTTCTCGAAAGGACTCGAAGACTGGAACTTCGAAAGTGGGATATTATTATACTGAGGCAAAATCTATGTGCCGAAAGCAGATAATAAGGAATCACTTGGATGAGAAATCGTTCAGTGTCATCATGAAGCTGCCAGTGCAGGTCATCCTGGAAGATGGAAGACATATGAGATGTTATCTCGTAATTACTGGTGGCCGGGAATGTCCACTTACGTCAAAAAGTATGTTGGTTCTTGCGACCTTTGTCAACGCAACAAGAACATCAATCAGCCAAAATACGGGGAATTACAGCCAAATGAGGTTCCAACAGAATCTTGGGAAATTGTCTCTGTCAACTTAATCACTCAATTACCAGAATCCCATGGATTCAACGCAATTATGGTAGTTGTCAATCGTTTGACCAAACGAGTGCATTTCTTTGCAATCACCAATGAGGTATCAGCATCAGACCTTACCCGTACTTTCTATGAGAGGGTATGGACACAGCATGGTCTTCCGAGACAGATTATCTCAGATAGAGGTACTCAGTTTGCAAATGTATTATTCCAAGAAGTATGCAAGCTCCTTGGGATACAATCAACAATGTCGTCCGCATATCATCCGGAGACCGATGGTCAAACTGAAAGAACAAATCAGTCGCTAGAGCAATATCTTCATATTTATATGGATAAACGCGTGGAAGACTGGAGTACTTTACTTCCAACTGCCGAATTTGCCTATAACAATCAGGCTTCTGAAGCCACTAAGAATTCACCATTCTTTGTCGAATATGGTAGACATCCACATGCAGAACCAACAATAATGGACCCTATAAAGCATAATACGCTAGATTCCATAATGCAGGCACGAGTAGAAGCGCAAGAGCAAGCAAAAGCAGCCATTCTATTGGCAGCTGAGTGCATGAAGTGGTACTACGATCAATCCGTACGACCCGCACCTTTCAAAGTTGGAGATCAAGTATTACTCTCCACTA